AATGTGGAAAAATAATCTTCTCTTCCAGAATATCACCAAGCTTTTTCAGCTTTTCCACAATGAATCCAGTGTTCGTTCTAGAGAAAACCAACAGCTAGAAATAAAGATCAAGTTCTGCCTGACTCCCTGCACAGAAAGACTATTTGAAAATTGTTCCTTGTTTTGCCTTAGATGTTTGGAATCCTCAGATTGCAATTAGAATATTTAAAACATTTTATATTTATTAAGTCGTGTATCTGATATGGGAAGAATCTTTCCCAATAAACATGATATACAACCTTCACGATTCTAGCACATGCAACATTAATTTCATGCAGAAGTTTTAAAAGAATAAATATAAATAACAACTCAAACATAAATATTTAAATAGCCTAGCTAGTGTGCAGTTTTTTTGTTTGTTGTGGGTTTTTGGATTTTTTTCAAGTAATAATTTCAGAATAACTCTTTGGGAAAGAGATGGTGCAAGTTATGGGATTATCTTGTGTGAAGAAAGGTGTCTGGTTACAAGCAGAGAATGTTAGGAGAGGAGTTTCTGTTAGCTAAGGAAAACCTGATAAACTATCACTAAATATTCAGTGGAAATTCAGAATTAGGAAGCATTATATAAAGCAAATGTGACTGGAAATTTTTTATTCTAGTGAAAAATCTATCTAATATCAAGTCCAATAATTTGTTTAGCTACACTTTCATTGGCTGTGACTTCAGTTTTCCTGTATATACAATTTTGGCACCATATGTTAAACTGTCTTACACAGTGCCATTGGTTATCTGGAGATGATAAATCTGCTCATTGATTTCCTAATTTTATTATGTACACAGTTAATTGTAATCCAAGATTACAGCAAACAAGATGTTAATTTCTAGACAACCTATGTACATTTCCCTCAGAGTGTGATTGTTACAGAAGCAAAGACCACAAAGAGAATACCATTTGTGCTATCCTCACAGGAGCTGTCAATAAAAGATGTAATAGGGGATTTAGGAATCTGGAAATGGCCAACTAATTTATGTGAATCTATTTTATTTCAGCTAGAAAGACCAAGCTCTGTTTCGTCTGCACTGCATATTGCAGAGCACAGGCTGTCTATAGAAAACCAGGCGGCTGCATATGGATAGTCCCTTGATATCATTCACTTGCTGTGTAATCTTATTATGCAAAGTTCTAATCTTCACCTAGAATGAATGCCTCTGGGTCAGAATATAGTCATATCAGGGTTTTTGAGGTCATGTTTTGTGATCCTTAGCTTATTCTTCTAAGTAGGGCTGGGATTTAAAGAGTATTCCCCAGACACTAGCAGAGATAGACGGCAAAACCTGCTGCCTTTTTGGAAGACAAGACCAACATGAGGTCCCTGGTAGGATTAAACTTGATTTGTAGCTGTAGGATTTTTTAACAGATGTATTATTGGACAGGGAATAGGGGGCCACCAGCACAGCGAAATTGGATCACGATTGGCATTCTCAGGGAGTCCGCTGGCTGCTAAAACAGCAGCTGCATGTGGATTTGACTTCTTTCAGGTGAAGCGACTTCCAGTCATTTGGAAAGGATGGGATGAAAAGGAACCTTGGTGATAATTTTGATGTCTGCAAGATTTAGTACCAATGTAATGGGATTATCGGTAACACCTTCACTGCAGAAAAAGCCACCTGGCGCTATAACTGGCAGCAACTGAGAACTAATCCTTTCCCATCTCTTGGATGTCATTCATGAGGCTCAAAGTGATTTCTACCCTGCTAGCTGTGATTAATTTTATAAACAAACAAACAAACAAAAAATCATATGATGAAGGCATAGGCTCTATAAGGAAAAGGGAACAGAAGATAATAGTAATTACGTTTTGCATTTTATTTGCTGCAGGAGATAATATATACAGTTCTTATAACGAAATTGTATTCTGCGTGATAAGTATGGATGTGTAACCTTTTTAAATCAATGTTTATGTTCAGTATAAAAACAATGTCTATTTCAGTATAAAATTTTCAGCTACCTTCTATATGATAGCACGTAGTACCTGGAAGTAATTAAAACAGGTTTTATGCTGTTAGTTCTATGATAAGGATGTTTATAGAACAGATGTGTTAAGTTTTGAAGGGGCCTGTGACTTAAATAATTTGTTTTATTGTGCTTAATGCTCTTATGCTGTATCTGGTGGAGTTGCCTGCTGGCAGCGCTTTGTATTAAAATTCATTGTGTGATGTGGAAAAACATTCAGCCGTTTGCCTTCTTAAGATCAACAATATGGCATTGTTTTAAAAATGTACTGACAGATTTCCCAGGAAACAAAATTATATTTTACTGATGCTAGAGCAATTATAAATATTCTGTGTTTTTTTTTTAATAAACTAGAGTTGGTTTTTTGACTGGCTTACTCTCACTACAACCATTCACTTATTAACTAGAAGTTATTTAAAACTGCATAGAAACTTTCAGGATCGTAGTTATTGTGTGGAATGAACACTAGATGTCTAAAGATGGACCTTGATGCTAAAAAACCCCAATCCTCTGAAGTGATCTTGTTAGGTTTAAACTGTGTGTAATCTAGGTACTCTATATATGCCTTAACTTGAAATTAACTTTCTTGAGTAGTACTAAAAAGCCTTAGATAAAAGCTAAGATTTTTTTTTATCATTATCATGAACATCTGTTAAGCCTGAGCATTTTAAAAAAAAATCTGTTGTGTCACACTGATAAACTGACACTAATGAAATCCATGTCTCAGGGGTTAAGAATTTATTTCAAGAGAACTAGGAGCAAAATTTGAGACCTCTTCACTCATATTCTATGTTTGTGGTCAGTTATACCTTGGCAGCTCTAGCAGTAGGTAAAGCTCATAATAATTTACAAATCTATGCCTCCTAATTCAGAGTTGCTCAGAGACATCAGGGAGAAATGTGTGTTCAGTGTAATTATTGGGAAGTATGTGTCATCCAGAGTCCAAATGGAAATCAGTTGCAATCAGTTTGAAGTGTGTTTTCAGAGACATATAGCAGTTGTTTGTAGTTTCATAATAAAAAACATTTTAGTTGTAGCCTGATGGCTTTTGGCATGAGAAGTTTTAGATTTTCTCTTAATGAGTGTTATTACCATGCCATTTGGTGCAATCAACAGTATCTACCTGTAACTCAATGTTTATACAGTTCCTCTTTACCTGTGATATCCACAGGTGCCTGAATGCTGTACCACCTTAATATATTAACATTTCTGAAGAGCATAGGTCTGTGCAGTGTTTTTCTGTCTGAGAAGCCACGTGAGGCTGGCTGCCTTTCTAGCAGGTGCTGTTAAGTACTGATGATGTACTTCTCTCAGAAGATAGTTGTGGTCATTAATTCACACTAATTGTGCAAATCTAATTGATGTGCTGTCTCTGTAGCTTCTTTTTATCACCTGTAACACATTTCTGGGCTCACAGTGTTTCCAGCCCTGAGAGCAAGGAGTTGGTCCATGCTTTTCATAGCGTACTGGTTTGAGAAGAACAAACCACTTTTCTGGCTCTCCAGAATAAATTCTGCTGAAAGTGCATTTCTCTTACAGCGGAGCTGTTGCAGTTTCTGCAGTGTGTCCTGCAGTGTGCTGGGCACTACACGTGCTAATGAAACAATTCCAGACTTACTTGTTTTCTGTTGTGTTTTGGTTCATTACTGTGAAACTTGTTAGCTAATTTTAAGGATGATAAATCACAGATTGGTTTAAGTGGATTTATTTTGGAGATCTTTTATGTTAAAAAAACCAAAACAAACCAACCAAAAAACAAGTACATATTACCTTGTTCCAAAAAGAAGCTTGACAGAGAGCATTTTCACCAAGATTGGTTGTCTTTTTTTCTTTATTTATAAATGCAAAGAACAAAAGCCACTTCTGACTGTATTCTGGCAAAATTCCCATTAACTACTAGAGAGAGTTGTGCAAGTAAAGCTATACACTTTTAAATGCCTGCATTTAAATAGCAAAACATAATGAAATATAGCGGGAGAGGTCTTTTTATTAAGTGGGGCATATTGTACATGCAGCATTTTTCTTTGCTTTTAAAAATTACTTTAACTTACTGCATTTGTTTAGCAAGGTATATTGATCCATCTTAGTAAATGAGGGAAATCTTGCTGTGGTTTCAGTTCATGATAAAGTTGATACTGAGTTTAAGGGGGACAGGCTTCTTGCAGAACGTAAGTCTTGCTTCAGTTACTTCACTATGTGCGTGTTCCACTTCCTTAAATAGAAATATATGTATTAAAAAAACTCTTAAAAATTGGCATAAGGAAGCGTGTTAGTTAGATTAATGTTGCAGTAATTGCAATTAATTATCAGAGTCTGACTTAAGTATTTGTGGGAGGGGATCAGAAGATATTTACAGAGTCCTTTTACGGGCTACAGAACTTATGCCACCGTACCGTAGCTGAGAACAGAAAGACCTAATACTGTATTTTTATATGCAAGTGTTTTGGTAATGAAAGTCTAGTCCAAGTAAAGCTTTGCAAAAACTCCAGAATTCCTATCAACAACTGTGTTCTTTTTCTAGACATATTTAGGCAATCCATTCCATTATCCTTAATTTTGTCTAGTTCTTCAAGCCTCTTTTCATTTGATTGATTGTCAGGTTGCTTTTAAAGTTTTGGTTGACTACTTGATTACTCCAGTTTTCTGTGAATGTTATTTCGGTCGTGAAATACCTTAAAATCACTTCAGATGGTTTGATGATTCTCTTTTGCTGTTGAGTGTTCAGTTTTAAATACTAGCGCTTGAAGAAAAACAATGACTTAAATTGCACTGTCTTCATGTGATTAAAACAACTCTGTCGAGTGTTATGGTAACTCATATGCAGTTATTTATTAAATATGTGGTCCCGTCAGGAAGTCAAAGCCTGCACTAAAGGCAGGATTACAGCTTTCCAGTTTTTATTAATTTTCAAAAAAAAAAAAATATTGTCCATCAGTTGTTAGATACAAAAGATAGTTTTGTAAATGTTAGGTTGTTATCAAATGAATGATATTTTTCTGTTTCACTATAGACTAGAACCAGCTGAACGACGTAACACCGTACCATGCTTCGCAATGTCCTAGGAAAAACCTTTCGATTTCTTGGGTACACTGTGCAATATGGCTGCATAGCGCATTGTGCCTTTGAGTACCTTGGAGGAGTTGTTGTGGTAACTTTTCATTTTCATGCCATTTAAAAGAAAATAAAACTATAATACTGAAATTGTTATATGTGATAATGCCAATATTTCAGGTTACTTTTTTTTTTTACAGCTTTTTCAAAGTGCGTTTAGTAAATGCCTGTTTTTTGGACGCAGGTCTAGCCTTTATGGAAGTTATTTCTACTTTAGACATTTTTTTTTTTTGCCAAGTTCCTGCTTGAGGCACCACTGAAGAGAATGGGAAACTCTGATTAAGCATTTTTCAGAGAGTACGTTCCTTCAGAAAGACTGGAGTCACTAATAACGCCATAGGAAATGTTCTTGTTTTCAACACTGGGCGGATTTCTGGGTGTTTTATGCTGCCCCTGGCCCCCCTTGCTGTTTCTAGACCTAGTAAATTATTGCTGCTGGATATAGTAGATTTTGGCTGTGAGCGGCTCTTCCAGCTTCTGTGATGCTTCTCCTTTCCGGAGGCTGAAGCAAGCGGTAAGCTGGCAGAGCTGTGAGTGCTGCTCCTAACAATTTCCTGCAGATTAGGTGCTGAAATGAATCCTTTGGGGCTCCTAGCACCTAGCACAGTTCAAGCCCAATCCTGAGTGAATACTGAGCTGTAACAGTGTTACAGGTGCTCTGCAGACTGTCCTCACGTGTAATTGTATCAGATATTCCTTGGAGGATCTCACTTTTTAAATTGTTCTTTACATTAGCCCTTTTCTAATTAATTAGCAACTAATTTGAATATCATTATATTTTAGATAGAAGTAATTGAAAATAGTAATTTTTTCTCATTTATTTTTGATTTGCAGTGTTCTGGACCTTCAATGGAACCAACCATTCAAAATTCTGATATTGTCTTTTCGGAGAACCTTAGCCGCCACTTTTATTTCATTCGAAAGTATGGTCCTTTGTTGAGACTAGATTTTACATTCTGTTTGCCAAAGCTTGTCAATAACCATTCTTCTGCTTCTAAGTCGTAATTCTTCATAAAACTCCTCTTGTTGTGCTCTTGAAGTTAAGCAATCAGCACATACAGCCCATTGAACAACTTGTCAGAATTCATTTAGGGTATAGTCTGTCACTTTTACAGCTTTGTCCAAAAAACCAAAAAAAACTCCCTTTTTTTTTTCCTAAACCAGTTCTATTGTCTGAATGTAACTTCTCCTCTCTAAGCAGTTTGTCTTACTTGCAAACTAAGCTGTAGGAAGTGATATGGTGTAAGAACCGTTTATCAAATGGCATTTTATTACTGTATTGTAGGGCACAGGAGGCTCAAGGCCCTTGCCCATTTTGTCACAGACTGTGTCATTCTACAATCTAATGTGTATAATCAGGAGGCAAAAATAACACAACGTCTTACAAACTCAGACATTTAAAGTTTCATGGGAAGAACACATTGACAATAAATTTAGGAACACAGAATTGGTTCTGTTGCCTATGTATGTAGCAACAGGATCAAGTTAAATGTCATTAATTTCATCAGAGTTTTGTCAATTAAAATGTAGTCTTAAATGTTTTATAAATAATCTAAATAACAACGAGTCTCTCCAAATTTACTTCAAAACCTGTGTGTAGAATTACACCCTGAGTGAAACAGAAGAATCCAAAATTGTAGACAGGAATTTTCAGTAGAAGGAATTATCTTTAATGTGCGTGAATATTTTTGGAGTATGCACATTGATGCACCTGTATTCAGCCAAATAGTTTGTAGAGTTCTTCTGTTTATTTTTGTTTCTGTTTTTTCCTGTCAGAGGAGATATTGTAATTGTGAAAAGCCCAAATGACCCCAGATCAAATATCTGTAAAAGAGTAATTGGCTTGGAAGGGGATAAAGTCTGCACAAGCAACCCTTCAGATTTCCTTAAGAGTCACAGCTATGTAAGTATTAGAGTTTTCTTACTTTGTAAATGAATGATTACTTAAGCAGTAGGCCTGGTAGTCTGTAAAGGATTTGCAATATTTGAGTATCATCATAAATCACCAAGTATGACGTTCATAAAATATTCTTTCTTCTTGAATATGTACAGTAAAATGTTGTAATTTGTAAACTCTGTTCATGGCAAGCTGTCTTTCTCAGTGTCTTTTGTCTCTGTAGGATGTGTAGGCAGGTGATACTTTTGCTCTGCCCTTTGCTTAGGTCTTCTTCCCTTGAAGAATACTCTCAAATTCTCTGCATAAAGTGCAGTACAGATGGCAGACTCAAGGGCTTGGTCTTAAGGCAAAACTGTTTCTGTATTTTAAACACAAAGAAGTGCAGATTCTGTCTCTACAGTGGCTTTGAGGATTTTGCTTTCAAAGTTATACTTCAGTGTATCTATATTTCAATGTAACAATATTTTAATTTTTCTGAGTATGGTTGGAAAAGTAGTAATTTTTCTAACTTGTCCAAAAAGTCAGGTAACAAGATGAAATAAAAGGGAAAAAAATATTCTTAATGCTCACTTGTCCTTGTGCAGACAGATTTAACACTGTTAAGTTTGGAAAGATTTGTGACAAAATGTTTTCAGCATCTTCCTTTTAGGCTATCATTGGAAAAATAATCAGAAATCATGGCCACAGGAAAGTGCTTTTTTCCCAAAAGCATATTTGACCATTACCTCTGTTCAGCACCTTGTGGAGACGTCAGGTTTTGCATAGGTGTTTTGAATCTTAAAAGAAAGATACTCTGTTGCCCATTCATATCCATGTCATCCTCATAATTTCCGTTAAGAAGAATTACTCTCAGGCCTGTAGCTTTGAAGGTAGAGAATTTTGTGGAATGCTCCTTGCAGCCAGCTACAGTTTGTGATAGATAAATCCTTTAAGAGTTGCGCTACCATAAAGACAGCCAACTTCACCAGGATGCCTTCAGGTACCGTTGCTTCATTTGTGTTGAACAGCTGAAGTGGAGTCTGTCCTTATTCATATTGATGGCAAAATTCTTGTCAACACTGTGTCTAGATTCAGTGTCTGGATTTAGTCAAGACCTAGGACCAGAAAGCAAGGATATAATTCATACCCTGTTCCGAGGCGCTGAATTTGTTGTTTCTTCTACTCTGGTGTTGAGGCAAGACATTTCAGGCATCTGCCTCTAATCTGCCCTTCTGATCAAGTGCCACTGGAGCTTCTGTTCACAATTCTGTCACTCATGGACAGAAAGAAGGGACTCATTCTCTGTTATGTTTTGAAGGGGAGCACAGAGCGTTTAAATTTTCCATAAATAAAATTGTGTTACTGTTTAACTAAGGAAAAAACCAACTGACATGCCCTCCCCTGCCCCACATATCCCCACCTTTCTTACCAAGCTGAAGAAATTTGCTAGCTCCTATGGGAGTAGTGATTTAGGGGAAATATAAATTGCCCAGAGCAAAAATGACCTTAAATGAAAAAATGAATTCTGTGTGCACTGATGGAAGATGCAAAGTGAGTTTCTCTGAGCATGTCGTTCTTCGCTTAAGACGTCTTGAGTCTTGAAAATGAAGTTCAGGAAAGGTTTGTACTTAAAAGGATGCCAGCCTTTCTGGAAACCCTGAGGTAATCAAATGAATATCCAGAAGAACAGTTTCTGCCCTAGGTGTAAGATTTCTGTCTTCAATTTCAATATAAAATGTAAGGAGTCTGAGAGGATGAGGAATGTAGAGCCCATTTCCTATTTTCCTGTGTATGTTTTTCATAAAGGCTAATGTGTGGAAATACAGCAAAGTGACTTGCAAACTTTCTTAGTTCTCACATCCTAACTTGTGTCTAAGGGGAGAAAGGATCTAAATGGAAGTGCTTTCAGTTGTTAGTGCATATCTGTTTTCCTCCTGTCTTTAGTGGTTGTTGAACAGCTACATCTTTCCATCTGTTCAGGAGACACTTCCTTTACAGAAGCATATATTCTCAACATAGATATCTGCACATTATGCTCATAATTTACACTGAATTATTCACCAAGTAAATTGTTCTTTTTGGAGAAAGGAAAAAGTGGTATGTGTCTTTGTTATGTAATTGTCTAATAGATTCCCTATTTTAGTGAATCACTGCGCTACTGCAGTAAATACAAAGTATCAGATGTCAGAATTATTATCATCGAATTAAGGATATGAACCCCTGCTTCATTCTTTGCTGGTATTTGCCAACTAATGGTTAGGTATTATGAGTTAGCCAGTTACTGGAGATGTCAGATTAACGGCAGTACAACATACTTCACACAGCAGAGAGTGAAACCACCTCTAAGCAGCTCCTTCTCTTCTCACCTCAAAAGGAGAATCCTTATAGTCATGTTAGTAGGAATTGTGCTTAGTCTGCATTGACTGTGTCAATGTAAGTGTTGGCATATTTTACAGATTTCAAACTAGGGATTTTTGTGCTTAGAAGCATTATCATACATGACTGTTACTCTGAAGCCTTAAGAGAACGCCAAAATCGGATCCTGCTTCCAATACTGTTTCATTCATGAATATACTTCTCGGGATGGCTTATATATATATAGATAGGAGAATGCAGAACTCTGTTTACAATTTGCTCTGTAAAATTGCATAGATGAGATACTTTACTGCTGCAAACAACCAAGTAGAGAGCTGTAGATTAAAAAAACCCACCAAACCATCTTTCCAAGCTGTAATAAAAATGAAAAATAAAAAAATAATATATAAGTTGAATAAGTTTTTATGCAAAGAGATATTTCAGTTGAGTAGAAAAGCAGTATAGCAGTGGCAGTTGTGTGAAAGTCTTTATAGTGGTATTAAAATACTTTTTCTGCTATACTTAGCTGAAGTAATACATCGTATGAGAAAAATTATTTTTGTCAGTGTGCATTAAGTGTAAGGCTGTACCAAAAAAACTGTCTTTGATGGAATCATTGTTGGATTATAAGCTGATGGAACTAATCCAACATATCAAATTTATTGCTATAAATTAAGCACGTGCTTAAATTAAAACTTAAGTACATTAGGAATGTCTTTACTTTGGACCCTTCATAGGACATGATGTTTCACATGCTAGAGGTTGGAGTTTCTCTGCATAATAATAATGAGGGGAATCTTCCTATTTACATAAAAAGGATAATGAAAATCCTTTTTTGAGTAAGCTGCTATAGTATTACAAAGTTAGGAAAATGTAATTTTTCTTTTCCTTGCCTTTTTAATGATATTTGGTATGGAATATGAGCACTAGGCTGGCAGTTTTTCTGGGCTCTTTTTTTGGCTTTGTTCTCAATGATGGTGTTTATAGATAGAAGCAAGTGTATCTACTGTAATAAACATTTAAGAATGCATAACATTTTTACTGTATCATAAGCAATGTGGTATGAACCTAAAAGTTAAAAAAAGGTAAACTACTAATTTTTAGTAATGTGGCACTCGGACCTAGTTTCAATTATTAAAAAATATCTTTACTGATTAATTTATTTAACTATAAGATCTAAATAATTAGGGTTAATAAGGAAATTACTCAATGACAGTAAACCCCTGAAACGGCCTTTAAAAAAAAGCACCTGAAAGGTTAATTTTCATATTTAGTTTTTTATTTCCTGTTTTTAAAAGTCTTAATACAGGTCCAGGTTTATAATTCAGATTGAGTATCCTATTGTTATATTTGAATTTGTGTTAATGCCATTTACTTTAGCTTTAATTTCTTTAGTACCATATGTTCTTGTGCTGCAGCTCCTATTTACAAATTGAAAAAGTGAGGGGTAAGTCATCAGATTAAAACAGCTTGTATGTCATAAACCACCAATATGCTAAGCCTTTGTATCACTTAAACAAAAGTAGTACCTAATAATGTCACTTAATACAGCTAGAGTCTGTAAATAAGGAACTGCCTTTTGCAAGTCATAGTGATAAAAAGCTGAGATACAAATCCATATCTCAGCAACACTCTGCTGGTAATCAATCACAACACACCACTAATGCTGCGAGACTAGCTGATGTGGGGGAAGTATGTTTACCTTGTGCTAAAATGAGGTTCATTGCGGAGATGGCATCTCTTCATCCTGTGGTTAACTCTAGAGCTAACATAATTCTGAAGATAATGCATCTTACTGTGTTTGCAGATCAGAGAAGTGGTCTTAGGCAGCGCTATTAACTCTTAAACAGTCCTTCTCAAATGCAGTAAGAATATTATTTGGGTACTAAGAATAACGTAATGTTAATGTAAACAACACAATATCTTGATCGCTAGACAGTACCACCAATTTTGGACGCACAACATAAGACACTGAAAAGTGGTTTGACGTTTCACAGTGCTCAGTACCACTGGATAGTCTCTTCAAAATATCCTACATAACAATTAAAAATAAAGTTCTCAAAACACTAGTTCTTCTTCCTTTGTCCTTAGAATCTTAATAGCTAGGTTACACTCATGGCTTAGTATGTCAGTAATCTAAGTTTTAATCATAGAATCATAGAATGGTTAGGGTTGGAAGGGACCTTAAAGATCATCTAGTTCCAACCCCCCTGTCATGGGCAGGGAAACCCTCCACTACACCAGGTTGCCCAAAGCCTCATCCAACCTGGCCTTGAACACTTCCAGGGATGGGGCATCTATAACTTCTCTGGGCAACCTGTTCCACTGCCTTACCACTCTCACAGTGAAAAATTTCTTTCTTATATCTAACCTAAATCTGCCCTCTTTCAGTTTAAATCCATTGCCCCTTGTCCTATCACTACACGCCCTTGGAAAAAGTCCCTCTCCAGCTTTCCTGTAGGCCCCCTTTAGGTACTGGAAAGCTGCTATAAGATCACCCCGGAGCCTTCTCTTCTCCAGGCTGAACAGCCCCAACTCTCTCAGCCTGTCTTCATAGCAGAGGTGCTCCAGCCCTCGGATCATCTTCGTGGCCCTCCTCTGGACTCGTTCATATATCTTACTTAATATCTTACTCTTTCTTCTTCTCCTTAGTTCTAGTGTTCTGGAGGCTG